CCCCCCCCCCCCACCCCCCCCCCCCCCCCCCCCCCCCCCCAAATCTCCATCTCCAGGCACACAATTATATCTCTCAGACTGATTAGCCTAGCACTTTCGGACACTGTCAGCCCTTACAGATGGGTTGTTCTAAGAGAAGTGGACCTATCTTCAATGCAAATGCACCATTAGATAATTTCTTCGATAACAACATCTTAAATTGCCCACTTGTCTTTTATTAATAGCCCATCTTGTGGGAGCACGTTTTCTATCAATTTATTAGCAGAGTTTTCTAGAGAAACAGAAGTTAAAGACCAATTTCATTAAATGTGTATCTGAAGCATGACACACTCATGCAAGTTTCCTATCAAGAAATAACCATAATATTGGAATCTTTAATTGCACACACACATCTGTCACACAAATGTTCACTTCTTTAAAATAACATTAAACAATTTAATAACTAACAGCACTAAAATATTTTAGGCAATTTTGAGAGTCCACAATGCACCTGTACACCTGAATGCTACAGACATTTCTTTAGATAGAGCATATTCTGTTACGACATTAAATATCTTTATCTCAATAAAAAAAATAAAAATCATAAGAAATCTGACACATTCACTTTGGCTTTCTGCCATGTTGGGATATTATATACATTCTTATTCAGTTACCACTTACAGGGATAACAACTGTTCTAAAAATATCCATATAACACCAAAACAGTGGTTAATGCATTTATTATGAAATTTGTGTTTGCCATCACATCACATGGACTTCATAGGTGGCTTCACTCTGTAGCCACTATAAGATATTCAAAATTTATAGCCATTATAACTATTCAAAATTCCATTCATTCAATACCTCTTTATATCATTGCCACATGCTAATAAAGGTTTTGATAGAATCGCTTTTAACTTGATAGCCATGTACCAGTCAATAAATGGATGTCTAACTGTGCAACGCAGGTTTGAGAGTTTGAAGTTTCTTGAATGACGACCTTCTACTAGACAGCCTTCCTCCTGTTTTATTAGATTAATACAGGTTATTACACTATTTAATCGGACTAGAACAAACTTCTGTCCCTCTACAGTCAAATAGGAACCTTTCTTTTTATTTTAAGGAAATTCTTCAAACAAACTTGTCAAATTCAAAGTATTGTTTGCATGCTCTGGTGTCTGATCAATCTTGCAAAAAAAAAGGGTATACTGAAATACAAGAGTTGCATGTGTATAATCAAATAATAGTAACCAAAATATTGATTTTCTCGATTCCATTTCTAGACTTAATAATAGGTGTTACGTGTCTCTGAATCACATAATGGAATTTCTGGTCTTTCAGTGATCAAACTAATCGCAATCACCATTTCAATAATCTATTCATGTCAGCAGCTGTTGAAATAGTTGTTTTCCTAACTGCACTTACTGAACACTCACACCCTGAATTGAATATTTAGTAATAATCTACTTTATACGCCAGCTTAACATGCTAATATCGGCATGCAAATGATCATTGGTAGATAATAAAACTGACTTCCCTTCAACCGCAGAGAGGTCCCACTCTCAACCTCAGAGGTATTCCATGCAGAAGGCTCAGCTGTCTCACGCTAGTATTCACTTTCACAAAAAAAAATTCATCTCTAAATTAAGCGTAGCGTAACTCTGTCAGAAACGCAAATGACTTTTCTTTTCAAACCAAATCCAATGGAGCTCCCAAGATACTTTTAAATTAGGTAAAATCATATCACATTTTAACCCAACAATTGAAATTGAAAGGAAATGAAAAATAAATGATTGAAGTTGAAATTAAAGCACCTGCTCCTTGAATTTGTGTTCCATGTTATCTTTAGCTTTCTCTTTTTGACCTTTTATTGTGAGGGGAAAAGAGTATTTTAAAATTGTGAAAACATACATTGACTAGTTTTGTTGAGACTTAGTATGAGTGTTTGTCATCATCATGCAGGTAAAAATAAAAAAATCCTTAAATGTTCACGCCATAATATTCCTCTAAACTGTAATACACACATTAATAAGTCATGCAACAAGTCACTAGGTACAGTAAAGAATAATACATTCGACATCTGTTATCAAATAATGTCATTTTGACGTGTGGAAATCTAGTCATGTAGTTCAGAGAGATGTGACCGGATAATCAAAGAATTAATAACCTCCAATCATTGTCAGCCAGTTGGCCATAATTGGAGATATTATATGAATGTGAATGTACATGCATGTATAATAACTATTCTATGTACGACTTCCACTTTGTTTCTCTGCATGTCTGTCTTCGTACTCTTTGTATATCTGTCTGTCTGTCTGTCTGTCTAGCTGTCAGCCTGTCTGTTCAGGCCCGTAGCCAGGGGGGGTTCAGGGGGTTCGTACAAACCTCCCTTTTTTTGCTGGGAAAAGATCTGCTCTGGGTTAAAATTAATCTAGGTACACGGAGGCTTCATGGTAAAAGGTCCAATTTTTCACACACACACACACACACACACATACACACACACAGCCTCAACCCCCCACCCCCACCCCACCCAGGAAACTGCTGGCTAGGGGCCTGCATTTGTCGGTTTGTCTGGCTGTCCGCCTGTCTCCAGCGTTTGTACGACTGACCAGATACCTGCATTGTGAAAACACCATGCCACCATCAGCTTAACATAAACAATCAGTCTGAGCTGGACCATTAATGATACACAAACAATACACCCCACTTGCTACAAATGTAGTGTCAGACATGAACCTAGGCTTCAAAAAAAAAAACCTCTGAACATTTATCATGGGACACAACACCTAACCTTGACAAATCTCAGCAACCATCAGAATAGAATTTTAAAAAGTGGAATTCCGCTTTTCCACAGAAAAAAGACTCATGTCTGCAGTGTGCAATTTAGGGGATTAAAACCTGAGAATATCTTCCAGATAACAGACCCCACCTCCCCATACCTGGCGACACTGGCTCCATATATAGTCCTGATGTTGTCCAGTGGTGTTGAGCCCTGGGGGGTTCTCACATCCGCCACGCTGTCCCTGTGCTACAGGAAATAAAGCTGGGAGTTAAAAGTTTATATTGATTCTATTTCTTTTTTTGAAAATTTAATTCATACTGTTGTGTGTGTACTTATATATTATATGTGTGTAGCTAAATTGTCAAACATGGCACAAACTGCTTCATTCTTGCTTTCAGTAACAATGGACATTTTAGCTGGGATGTAATTCTATTTTGTTCATTTGAGATCATATTTATACAAGCCACATGAAAAACTGATTTATGTTATTCAAGATGAAACACCCCCATGAAATGTCAATATCCAGAAAAAAAAAACATAGTGCTAAAAATGTAATTGCTTATAAATAATACATTTATGGAAGTGATGAAAATTGAATTGAAGTATTACGTTCATATGACATTATAAAATAAAAGGGAAGAGAAACACACACATATAAAGTAAAATGACTACAAATTTACCTTCTTCAAAGTAAACCCAACTTTAGCATTGTGGATGGCATACCTGTTAATATTAATATTAAAGAACAAAATCAATAATTAGTTAAACTAGTGTATGACTACCTTACATTTTACTTATCAAGTTTGATAAGAAATGTCCAAATATCAAATTCAGTGTCTTAAAATGCATAATAAAAAATGAGACAAGCTAAATAAGGATCAAAGGAAATACTGTTACAAAAACTAGTGCCCTTTTTGATGTTCCTTAATCTTCTTTTTACTGACATTTGAAAATTCTTCCTTTAGACGATTTATTAAGAATCCATAATTAAAAATGAGATAAGCTAAATAAGGATCAAAGGAAATACTGTTACAAAAACTAGTGCCTTTTTTTATGTTCTTTAATCCTCTTTTTACTGACATTTGAAAATACTTCCTTTAGACCATTTATTTAAACCATCTGCAATTTCTCTATGCTTACAATCAAGCCACCGTGTCAATGCACAGCAACAGCCTGTGAAACTCCTTATTGAATGAGAACACATCCAGTGACATGAACAGTTGAGATGCGTCTCAACTATCGCATTCACAATCTCCAAACAGACACAATCTTCAACCCAGAACTTGGAGAAGGAGTTCAAGTATAAGTTTTCACTCACCTAATGCACTGCAACCTGAGAGGTTTTTTTCCTGATAATTTGGTCACATGACAACTTTATCAGTCTATGGCATATGTTGTTTCATTTTTTTCATTAAGTTTCATTTCACCAACTTGTAAATTCATTCAGCCCAATTTCATTTCATAATGCTATCATTCTCAAATGGCTCACTTATCCATACTGCTCCATTCACCTACCTGTTCACTTCACCTACCTGTTCACTTCACCTACCTGCCCCCTTCACCTACCTGCTCACCTCCCTTACCTGCTCACTTCACATACCTGTACACATCCCCTACCTGTTTATTTCCCCTACCTGCTCACTTCTCCTACCTGCTCATGACTTCCACAACTTTGGAATGCTCTTCAGCTGGACTCCTCAGTGCTTTTCTTCTTGTAGTTACATTGTAAAATAAATCTTCAACCTATATTTAAATACAAATTATCACTTATTAAATGAAAAAATATGTACTTGAAGATTAAAGGAAAATGAAATCATTTAGCATGAAATCAGACAAAGTCAAATTTTTGGCTTGCGACAGCAGTGTCTGAAGGATTCTATTCTAAATGAAATCTTACTTAGTTGAACCATCCTTTCTGCAGTTAGACTGTGAAGATTTTGATTATGAACTGTCAGTGAGAAAAAAGAAAGGAAAACATCCCATATCATGAAATACATTACAGATTCTCAAAATTAAAACTAATACTGTCACACCTCCCTTTAAAATATGAAATAATTTCCAAGTATTTAAGAAATTTACTTTGACTAAAGATAACAGACAATATCTCTGATGATTACAAGTACACACACCTGCATTAGGAAGTTGGCGCAATTAAATCACCATGCCAGATCAAAATAGCTACATTTCAATGGTGATAAAGTAAAAGCCTGCAGCTGTCTGCTCCCTGACATTGAACACTACTTTAAATACTGGGGCCATATTTTCGAAACTTTGTAACTTACAACAATTTGTAAGTTACAACCTTTTTGGAATACGTCCCCTGCACTACAATACTTACTGTGATCTGGGTTCCTACATTACCAGCACAAGGCTTAACTGGGGCCTTCAACTTGCCATCACAGTAACTTCCTCTGGAAATAATAAATCCAAAATTCTAGTAATAGAAATAAGAAACAACCTGCTCATCTACTTCACTTTAAAAAATAAGTGAATAAATGATACAGAATGAATAACTAAATAAAACGCTTTTTGAAAATAAAATTCTAAGCAAAAAACATTTCATTAGCTTGGTAGTTGGATCATAAATAACCTATCAGTATGAAGGTTTTTTCGACTTGTGTTTGACAATTATCATTTATAAATACAATTCTGCTTGTAATATGAACTAAGAGAATGGATGCAAATTAAATATTTTACACACCTGTATGCACATTTGGAGTCAGCTGTTCTGGTTGTTATGGTAACATGGGCTACATGACTTATGGAAGCCAGAGCCTCACCACGGAAACCATATGTTGCTATGGCATTCAGATCTTCAAACTTGTTTAGTTTACTGGTTGTGAACCGCTCACAAACTATCTCCATATCTTCTTTCTAGAAGTGGTTATAATTTTAAGGATTTGCTCATCAAATGACATGCTTACAGAAAAACAAATTCATGATATATATTTAAAGGTGTTTTGCTGGGTAGTTAGAAAGATGGATTCNGACAACTTTATCAGTCTATGGCATATGTTGTTTCATTTTTTTCATTAAGTTTCATTTCACCAACTTGTAAATTCATTCAGCCCAATTTCATTTCATAATGCTATCATTCTCAAATGGCTCACTTATCCATACTGCTCCATTCACCTACCTGTTCACTTCACCTACCTGTTCACTTCACCTACCTGCCCCCTTCACCTACCTGCTCACCTCCCTTACCTGCTCACTTCACATACCTGTACACATCCCCTACCTGTTTATTTCCCCTACCTGCTCACTTCACCTACCTGCTCATGACTTCCACAACTTTGGAATGCTCTTCAGCTGGACTCCTCAGTGCTTTTCTTCTTGTAGTTACATTGTAAAATAAATCTTCAACCTATATTTAAATACAAATTATCACTTATTAAATGAAAAAATATGTACTTGAAGATTAAAGGAAAATGAAATCATTTAGCATGAAATCAGACAAAGTCAAATTTTTGGCTTGCGACAGCAGTGTCTGAAGGATTCTATTCTAAATGAAATCTTACTTAGTTGAACCATCCTTTCTGCAGTTAGACTGTGAAGATTTTGATTATGAACTGTCAGTGAGAAAAAAGAAAGGAAAACATCCCATATCATGAAATACATTACAGATTCTCAAAATTAAAACTAATACTGTCACACCTCCCTTTAAAATATGAAATAATTTCCAAGTATTTAAGAAATTTACTTTGACTAAAGATAACAGACAATATCTCTGATGATTACAAGTACACACACCTGCATTAGGAAGTTGGCGCAATTAAATCACCATGCCAGATCAAAATAGCTACATTTCAATGGTGATAAAGTAAAAGCCTGCAGCTGTCTGCTCCCTGACATTGAACACTACTTTAAATACTGGGGCCATATTTTCGAAACTTTGTAACTTACAACAATTTGTAAGTTACAACCTTTTTGGAATACGTCCCCTGCACTACAATACTTACTGTGATCTGGGTTCCTACATTACCAGCACAAGGCTTAACTGGGGCCTTCAACTTGCCATCACAGTAACTTCCTCTGGAAATAATAAATCCATAATTCTAGTAATAGAAATAAGAAACAACCTGCTCATCTATTTCACTTTAAAAAATAAGAGAATAAATGATACAGAATGAATAACTAAATAAAACGCTTTTTGAAAATAAAATTCTAAGCAAAAAACATTTCATTAGCTTGGTAGTTGGATCATAAATAACCTATCAGTATGAAGGTTTTTTCGACTTGTGTTTGACAATTATCATTTATAAATACAATTCTGCTTGTAATATGAACTAAGAGAATGGATGCAAATTAAATATTTTACACACCTGTATGCACATTTGGAGTCAGCTGTTCTGGTTGTTATGGTAACATGGGCTACATGACTTATGGAAGCCAGAGCCTCACCACGGAAACCATATGTTGCTATGGCATTCAGATCTTCAAACTTGTTTAGTTTACTGGTTGTGAACCGCTCACAAACTATCTCCATATCTTCTTTCTAGAAGTGGTTATAATTTTAAGGATTTGCTCATCAAATGACATGCTTACAGAAAAACAAATTCATGATATATATTTAAAGGTGTTTTGCTGGGTAGTTAGAAAGATGGATTCTTTTGCAGTATCCCCCCTCCCCCCCCCCCTCCCCCAATTAACAAATAACTAATCCTAATGTTTATCAAAATTAAGTTATGCAATAACTTCAATAAGTGTCTCTGGTATTTAAATAAATTTGGAATAGTTTAGAAATTATTTAATAATTTTATCAACTTTTTATTAAACCTTCAAGCTATTTGACCTAAGAGATTACAACAAATTTTTCACCATTTTAATGGCCCTCCTCCCACAATTTTTGGATATCATTTAGTTTCCTGTAAAAATCATGATTAAATTTGTAAATGAATTACCAAACCAATATAATTAAATACAAAAAACATTGCAGGGAGTACCCTCACAAAATAATTATGGTGGGGGGAAATACTGCAAAAGTTCAAAATTGATGCACCAAAATCTTCATCCTTCAATTTAACTCTGTTACAAAACATTAACAGGTAAAATCATGAATACATTATATGTGTGTGTATGCATACATCTTACCCTTATTCCTGACCCATTGTCTTGTATCTGCAACAGTTTAAGTCCTCCATCCTTCACTGTCACTTGAATGCTACTCGATCCAGCATCCAGGCTAAACAACATAAAGGGTTATTATCACATGCCATGCTTACAGACAATAAATTACACATCAAAATGACGCTCAAAATGACATGAGCAGCAAATTTTACCCATTCATGGATATTCTACACATTTTCACTATAAACGCTCTTTGTTATCAGGTGTTAATCTGCTGTATAACATAGATACATTATGCATACCAAGGACTGAGGATATATGGCAGATCAACCTAGATGTTAACTTACCAGTTCTCTATCATTTCTTTCAAGCCATTGGCTGGACGCTGAATCACTTCACCTGCTGCTATCCTGTTTACAACTGTCTCATCTAGTCTTCTGATTATACCTTCTGCAGCCATGTTCAGTATATTCCGTCTAGCTTTTAAATGTACAGAACATAGAACAAAAAATGAAAATATGGGGCCTTCTGAAGAATGGTTATAGGGTATCAACTAGTGATGGTGATTTTACTCACCAATTTTGATATCACTTTTATAAAACTTCAGCTACTATACATATGCAGCATTATATAGAGAGAGTCAATATGTAGTTAAGATTTGTCAACACATCCACTTAAAGGTGAAAGCAGCAGCACATATATGCAGTAAGCTCTCAAAAACGTCAAGTCTTTGACTTTCAATGACTTTCTACATTCAGTTATGTGGTGACTTTTATCAGTGTCTCGATCTGCTGTACATGTATTGGAATACTTACTAGTAAAGTCGTTTGACCTGAGTTTTTACTAGTTTTTCCGAAGAAACTTCAATCCCATTTGGAGCATTGATCAAAGTCACTACATAACTTATTGTTTAAAACAAAATTCTAGAATTGCAAGGAAAAATTGTATATGCATCCGAAAGATACGCTTCGGTCGGCAAACTACACTGCCCCGGTAAAATAGTACAGTAGAGTCAGTAGACGACCATACGCGTCCTTCTTAGTCATCTGCTGTTCAATTATTCCTTTCACGATCAAAAGCAGCTCACATTCTAGCTCACACTGCATGAAGACAATAAAATACTCACCCTTACATCATCTAATAACCTAAGTAGAGCGATTTTCTCTAGGTATCCACATGCTACATTCGCGCCACCTTCCTGTATACAAGTCATATCCACGCCTCCTTTTAGAGGAGAACCCTGATCATAACAGACCTCAAGATACGCCATCTTCAAAGGCTAACATTGAGTCTTTGCTTGTTAAAACAGCATAATGAACATGCTAATTGGCCAAATAGTTTACAGGTGGTGACATAGGTTAAGATATACACTAAGTGAAAAAAAAACACAGAGTTCAATATTTTTTCATATATCTCTAGTACTATATTGTATTTAATTTTAAAATTAAATAACCTTCCCTTTAAATATAGGCCTATGTATACAATAATATTTAAATGTTCTCAGCAGATGGATACTACACAAATTTGCAGTTATTCTCATTTTGTTTTACACTGAGTTTACAATTAACTTCATCTATCAAGTTATTGAGCACGATGACAGCCAAAGCGGTTCAAAATTTGGCGGTTAGAGTTGTGAGTAATCTTTGCCAATTCAGATGTCGACTGTGGAGATGCCCCTGGTATTGTATGACCAGACCATATGTTCAGTCTTGGTAAGCAAGGCTAAAGGGGGGCGGGTGCATAAAAAAATATATGAAATAAGTAAAGCAATAGCGTCAGATGGCTTTGGAAAAAGTAGGCCCTACTGAAAAACTCTTCTTGCAGATAACCCAACGAGCGGATCTTTTATTTATTATCAAAGGGCAATATGGCATGCATGTTGCTGTGTCGTGTAAGATATTGAACCAATTCAAATGTGATCTGTTGCGTACGTAGTTGCTGAAGAAAAGAGACCAATGACCATCCCCGCCTAAGTATCATTTTAAAGACTAAAGTGAAGAGAAAAGAAGTATAATTGACGACGCAGACTTCATGATAATGACATCACTAACTCTGAACTATACCGGTATTTTTTGCAAAAGGTAATTTGCCCGAACCCACGAGAGCCTGCATTCGTTTTCGACAGTGGGGCTATCTTGTTGCCGTGGTTAACTGACATGCGTCACCTGGGATTCGAACTCGTGACCTGTCGTTACCATGGTTTGCTGATGGTTTGGTATGTTTTTTGCAACCAAGCACGCTACAGTCTGCGCCGTGAAAGACCCGCCCACCCTCCGTACGTACGAGTTTCCTCTTATAGTAACCAAAGGCAATTTTTAGAAATTGGTTTTCGAGCAAAAAAAGTCAGCCTGACCATCTTGGGATTCGAACCCGCGTGTGGTGATTAACTGTACGTCCAAGACGGTAGAGTCACCACGGAGCCATTCAAGCTTCGTTGGAAGACCGTGGATCAAATGGAAACTTTCTACCTTCTCACAGAGAGGGCCAGTTTGGATGTACATGTACATATCTGCCATAAATATCGATAGCCCGTGAGCCGTACGTATGTATTTCATCCCGCTCAACGCCAGTCCATGAACATGGGATTATCATCAACGCTGTTATAGTTTGTCATGTTCAAGAGGACTTGTTTGAGAAGCCGACACGGACCGTTCCTACATAGATTGTTATTATTATTATTATTATTATTATTATTATTATTATAACATTGTTTTATTCTTACATTAAACTTTGGCTTCAACTATGACGTTATCTAGCGAGCACAATGGGGCGGTTTTAGTTTTAGCAACCCCATTAGAGGAGGGTATCATTAAAAAAGCAGCAAATGTGTACAAACAGGTTCGCTTTCCACTTAAGCAATATTGCGACCATGCCAATTTCGAGGGAAACATAAGCTTGGTAAATAATTCACCTGAACGCAGTTTACAGGTGGTATGACGTGGTGCTATGCCATGAAAGCTACTGAATAACTCAAGCTAGCTCTCTTTAAATGATAAGATTGCCGGGAACGTTCCTAGTTAGATTAATTAAGATGCTGTTCTTTTAATCTTTTTGTCACGGAGTTTACGTTCGATTTCACCTGTGACGTTGTAAAGCACGATGAGAGCCAAAGCGGTTCACAATTTGACGGTTAGAGTTGTGAGTAGTCTTTACCAATTCAGATGTCGACTGTGGAGTTGCCCCGAGTATTGTAATATANCATTTGCAGTATCCCCCCTCCCCCCCCCTCCCCCAATTAACAAATAACTAATCCTAATGTTTATCAAAATTAAGTTATGCAATAACTTCAATAAGTGTCTCTGGTATTTAAATAAATTTGGAATAGTTTAGAAATTATTTAATAATTTTATCAACTTTTTATTAAACCTTCAAGCTATTTGACCTATGAGATTACAACAAATTTTTCACCATTTTAATGGCCCTCCTCCCACAATTTTTGGATATCATTTAGTTTCCTGTAAAAATCATAATTAAATTTGTAAATGAATTACCAAACCAATATAATTAAATACAAAAAACATTGCAGAGAGTACCTCACAAAATAATTATGAAGGGGGGAAATACTGCAAAAGTTCAAAATTGATGCACCAAAATCTTCATCCTTCAATTTAACTCTGTTACAAAACATTAACAGGTAAAATCATGAATACATTATATGTGTGTGTGTGTGCATACATCTTACCCTTATTCCTGACCCATTGTCTTGTATCTGCAACAGTTTAAGTCCTCCATCCTTCACCGTCACTTGAATGCTACTCGATCCAGCATCCAGGCTAAACAATATAAAGGGTTATTATCACATGCCATGCTTACAGAGAATAAATTACACATCAAAATGACATGAGCAGCAAATTTTACCCATTCATGGATATTCTACACATTTTCACTGTAAACGCTCTTTGTTATCAGGTGTTACTCTGCTGTATAACATAGATACATTATGCAATTCAAGGACTGAGGATATATGGCAGATCAACCTAGATGTTAACTTACCAGTTCTCTATCATTTCTTTCAAGCCATTGGCTGGACGCTGGATCACTTCACCTGCTGCTATCCTGTTTACAACTGTCTCATCTAGTCTTCTGATTATACCCTCAGTAGCCATGGTCAGTATGTTTCGTTTAGCTTTCAAATGTACAGAACAAAGAAAAAAGTGAAAATATAGAGGCCTTCTGAAGAATAGTTATGGGGTATCAACTATAGTGACGGTGATTTCACTCACCAATTTTGATTATGACTTATTTAAAAAACTTAAGCTACTAATATTATAAACAGAAAGCCAATATGTAGTTTTGTGATGTGAACATATCCACTTTAAGGTGAAAGCAGCAGCACTTATATCCAGTATGCTCTCAAAAAACGTCAAGTCTTTTATTCTCTTTCTTCATTTGTGGTGACACATCATTGTCTCTGCTACATGTATTTGGAATACTTAAAGTTAATACAGATTGAGTTAAGTTTTCATTAATTTTTCAGAAGAAACTTCAACCTTATTTGGAGGATTGATCAAAGTCACTATATACCTTAAAGTGTAGAAAACAAAGTCCAAGAATTACAAGTGAAAAGGGTATAGTGCAGTTTGCATTCGGTCGGCAAACTACACTAGCCCGGTAAGTTACTTGGACGCCCATACGCGTCCATATTATCCATCCCTGCTGTTCAAGGAAAGCAGCTCACATTCTATCACACACTGCATCAAGACCATATAATACTGACCCTTACATCATCTAATAACCTGAGTAGAGCGTTTTTCTATCGGAATCCACATGCTACATTCGCGCCACCTTCCTGTAAACAAGTCATATTCACGCCTCCTTTTAGAGGAAAACACAGTTGATAACAGACCTCAAGATACGCCATCTTCTCAGGCTAATATTGAGTCTTTGCTTGTTAACAGCATAATGAACATGCTAATTGGCCAGGTAGTTTACAGGTGGTGTCATAGGTTAAGATATACAATAAGTGAAAGAAAAGACTATGCTCAATATCATTTCATTCGGGTACAATCCACTTTTTTGTAATATTAAAATGACCACTTTACTCTAGGTCTTCATAAAATTTATACAAATGAAACATTGATAAGCCTACTAGTAGGCGTACATGTAGCCAGTGGCGGATTAAGATTTCTGGTCCCCTCTTCAAATTAGAATTTTGACTAGCTGAATCATAGTTCTAAATGGTACCAAATGGCACCGTTCGCCCTCTACAATAACCAAAATTTTCGGGGCCCTTCAGCGGGCCCCGAACCCTACTCCTGGTTGTGTAGGGGGGGGGGGGGGGGGAGGATCTCCTTCGCATCCGCGGACCCCTTTCAAATAATATGGTTTTGCACCTGTTACCTTTCCCTGATACACCTTTGATTAAACTTTTTATACTTTAATAGATATTTTAATCAATTTACTTTGATATATATCTATTACATTGTAGGCCTATTCAATTTTAAAATTAAATTACTTTCCCTTTAAATATGTATGCATTAATCTTTAAACATTATCCTCAGATGAATACAACTATAAATCATGCTGTTACCTGTATTTTCATTTTCTTTTACACTGAGTTTAGGCCTATATTTGACTTTTGGCTTCACCTATGACGTTAGAGAGCACAATGGGGCGGTTTTAGTTTTAGCAACCCCATTAGAGGAGGGTATCATTAAAAAAGCAGCAAATGTGTACAAACAGGTTCGCTTTCCATGTAAGCAATTGCGACCTTGCCAATTTCGAAAGAAAAAGGAGATTGGCAAATAATTCTTCTGAACGCAGTTTACAGGTGGTATGACGTGGTGCTATGCCATGAAAGCTACTGAATAACTCAAGTTAGCTCTCTTTAAATGATAAAATTGCCGGGAACGTTCCTAGTAAGATTAATTAAGATGCTGTTCTTTTAATCTTTTTTTTTTTTTTTCACGGAGTTTACGTTCGATTTCACCTGTGACGTTATAAAGCACGATGAGAGCCAAAGCGGTTCACAATTTGGCGGTTAGAGTTGTGAGTGGTCTTTGTCAATATTCAGATGTCGACTGTGGAGTTGCCCCGGGTATTGTATGACCATATGTTCAGTCTTGATAGCAAGGCAAAAGGGGGGATGGGGGCATAAAAAAACGAAATGTATGAAATAAGTAAAGCAATAGCGGCGAAATGACAATTGAAAAATTACTGAAAAACTCTTCTTGCAGACGTACGTAGTTGGTGAAGAAAAGAGATCAATGACCAT